CATGTCTATATCTGTTTTCATGAGCAACCACTTTGAAGATATCAATATGTAATACAACAAGCATTGTTAATTCCCTACCACTTTGTTTGTAGCTCTGTATTGTCTGTACTGTTCTTTTGATATGTTGTAAAATGTTGTCTGTCTGTTACTATTTTCCTCCTTTTATTTTTAAAATAAAAAAAAGTGTTTAATCCACTTAGAGATAAATATAAAACAGTGGCTCATTTTCATTCTTTTGCATATGGGGTACAGTTTTGCCAGTCCCACTTACTAAGAGATTTGTCCTTTCTCCTTTGCAAAGATCAGCTGACATGCGTATGGATTTATTTCTGGTCTCTCTATTCTGTTCCTTGGTGGATGTCCCTGTTTTTTGTTTTTATGCCAATCCTACATAGAACTCATTTGATTTCTGTGTATAATGCTTTACGATTTTTAGTGTAGAAGTCTAACATATCTCTTATTAATATATTGTCATGAGTTTTCTACTTCCAAATTATTGTCAGTGGTATTTTGTATGATTGTTTTTGCTGTTGTCTAATGTTTTTTGAAGTACTGGGGATTGAACCCACGGGCTTTGCACTGCAGTACAATCCTCAGCCATTTTTATTCCTTATTTTGAGACAGGGCCTCACTAAATTGCTGTTGCTCAGGTTCAGTTCAAACTCACAGTCCTCCTGCTTCAGCCTCACAGAGGGCTGAGATTAGAGGCAAATACCACCCCAGTTGCCTCCTGTATAAAATTTTTTGTAAATGGCTTGCCCACATTAAGTTTTGAACTTTTTAAAAATCTTTGTTCATGAGGGAACTTTTCCTCTAAATTCTTTTCTTGAAATGTCTTTGTAAGGTTTTGGTAAAAAGTGTTATGCTGACCCCACAAATCAAACTAGAAAGGTTTTCCTCTTTTTCTTTCTCTGGAAAAGTTTGTGTAAATTGGTATTATTTCTGCATAAACCAATTGGCAGAATTTATCAGAAAAACCATCTGAATTTGGAGTTTGCCTCTTGGAAGAATTTAAAATTAAATTTATTTTGTTGCCTTAGCAATCCTATTTTGGTATTTAAACTTTTGGTTGTGTTCCTTTTGGTAAGTTATGTTTATCTAAGAATTTGTTTCACCCAAATTTTCCAATGTTTTGTTTTTTTAAAGAATGTTATATAGTTGAGAATTGTACAACATGTAGGCTTTTCAGATTGGCTTTTTTTACTTAGTAATATGCATTTATTGTTCTGCCATATCTTTACATGTCTTGATAGTTTATTTCTTTTTTCATTTCTTCTCTCTTCCTTCCTTCCTTCCTTCCTTCCTTCCTTCCTTCCTTCCTTCCTTCCTTGTGGTGTCAGGGATTGAATCTGGAGTCTTGTGCATGGTAGGCATATTCTACCACTAAGCTGAACCCCCAGATGAGTTCTTTTTAGTGCTGAATAACAGTGCATTATCTGGATGTTCTACAGTTTATTTATGCATTCATATACTGAAGGACATCTTGATTGCTTTCAAGTTTGGGTAACTATGGATAAAACTATAAAATGTTGACGTGCACATAACTTTTCAGTTCATTTGGATAAATATCAAGGAATTACTAGATAATATGGTTAAAAGTACTTTTAGCTTTTACATAAAGGTGTCGTACTGCCTTCCATAATGACCGTACCATTTTTCACTACCACCAGCGTGTGGTGGTGTCCATGTTCTGGCTTTTGGCTGTTCAGGCATATATGATCTAATTTCCCTGACAACATATGATGTGGAGCATCTTCCCATGGGCTTCCTTACCATCTGTATATAGTCTTTTGTGAGATGTCTGTCCATTTTTAATAAGATTGCTTGCTTTCTTATTATTGGATTTTAAGAGTTTTTGTACATTTTGGGTAAGTCTTTTATCAAATGTGTCTTCTTTTGCAAGTATTTTGTCCCAGTTTGTGATTTGCCTTTACATTATCTTCATAGTGTCCGTCACAGAGCAGAAATTTTAAATTGTAATGATGTCCAACTTATCAACTGTTTCTTTCGTTGTATCTAAAAAGTCATTGCCAAATACAAACTCATCTAGACTTTCTCTCACATTGCCTTCAAGAATTTCATAGTTTTACATTTTACATTTAGTTCTGTGATCCATTCTGACTTAATTCTAGATTCTTTTCTTTGCATGTGAATGCCCAGTTGTTTCTGCACCATTCATTGAAAAGGGTGATATATTTTGTATGTCACATTCCTTTTGTTCATTGTCAAAGATCAGTTGACTATATTTATGTGGGTTTATTTCTTTGCCCTCTGTTCTGGCCCACTGATCTATTTATCTGTTCTTTCACTAATGCTACACTGTCTTGATTACTGTAGCTATAGAATCAGTCTTGAAGTTAGATAGTGTCAGTTCTCCAATTTTGTTCTTGCCTTTCAATATTGTGTTGATACTATAGATTTTCGCCTCTCTATATAAACTTTAGGAAGAGTTTGTTCATATAACCATGACATCTTGCTGAATTATGATTGGGATCACATTGAATCTATAGATCAGGTTGGAAAGAATTGACATCTTGAAAATATTGAGTCTTCCTGTCCAAGAACATGGAATTTCTTGCTATTTATTCAGCTCTTCTTTGATATGTTTTGTCAGAATTTTATAGGTTTCTTCATGTGGATAATGTACATGTTTTGTTAGATTTACACCTAAATAAATCTGTTTCAGTTTAGGGAGGTATCAGTGCAAATGGTATTGGATTTTCCATTTCAAATTCCACTTCTTCATTGCTGATATATAGGAAAGTGATTGCCTTTCAAATATTAACCTTATATCCTCCAACCTTGCAATAATAACTTGCTATTCCAGGAGGTTCTTTGTTGATTCTTTCAAACTTTCTACATACCATGTCATCTGTGAACAAAGTGTCATTTCTTCCTTCTAAGTCTACTTACCTTTTGCTTCCTTTACTTATTTTGTTGAATTGAGTAGTACTTCCAGTTCAGTGTTAAAAAGCACTGCTGAGAAGCGACACCCTTGCTTTATTTCTGACTTTAAGGGCCAAGTTTTGACTTTTTCAGTGTTAAGTATGTTAGCAATAAGTGGTGTTTTATTTTTTGTTTGTTTATTTTTTGGTAGCTATTCCTTATCATGTTGAAGAAAACCTTCTGCATTCCTAGTTTACTGAGAGGCTTTTTTTTTTTTTTTTTAAATCAGGAATGGGTTTTAGATTTTGTTAAATGCTTTTTCTGTATTTACTGAGATGATCGTGGATTTTTCTTTAGCTTTTGATGTGATAGGCTATGTTAGCCTATTTTAAAATGTTAAATCATCTTTTCATACCTGGGATAAATCCCACTTAGTTATGATGCATAATTATTTTTCTATATTGTTGAATTAAATATATTGCTAATATTTTGTTGAGGAATTTTACTTTTATGTTCATGAGATATATTGCTTTGTAGTTTTTTTGTTCTTATAATGTCTTTGGTTTTGGCATAATGCTGTCCTTTATGGAATGAGTTAGGAAGTATTCAGCATACCTTCTGGACATTTCCTCCTTCAATTCAACAGATATTCCAACTTTTATGTCTCAGTGTTTGTCAGAGCCATCTGGCCAGTTTCTGATCCTAGTTTAGTACAACTATCTTCTCTTTCCATGCCGGTACCTGAGTAGCTGTTTATTGCTGCAGAAGATCAGTCTCTGCTATATGCTTGCAGATCTCAGGGGAGCCCTCGGGGCTGCTGCACAATGCCAGTGCTTTTGTGTTCAGCTTGTTTTGCTGTTCAGACTTCCTCAGCTCTTCTATCAGATCTACCCGCCAATCTCTAAGCTCCCGTAATCAATGAAACAAGCATTTGGTAATTACTTGCTGTTGTGGGTTAGATCTAGAACGTCCCCCCAAAGCCTCACGTGTTCAGGTCGTGGGGCTTGGGTGGAGGTAGCTCACCGGGGCATAGCCTGGGAGGGTCTGCCTCCTTCCTCAGCTCCTCCCTTCTACCTTTACTTCCTGGGCACCATGACACAAGCAGCTTTTCCTCCACTACGTGTCTCTGACATGCCATTCCTGTCCTGGAGCTGGCCAACCATGCAACACTGAGACTTCTGAAACTTCTCAAACTGTGAGCCAAAACAACCCTCTCCTCCTTTGAGTTGCAGGTGTCGGGTATTGTGTCTCAGCAACAAGAAAGTGACTAAGATGCTTGCTACATCTCTTCTTCATTCACAGAGAAATGAAGCCATCAAATAGAAACTTCTTCAAAATCTGGTCTGATTTTCTGTCTGTTGGGGAATGGGTTCTGATTGCCCAGCTAGACTCAGTAATGAGCCTATGTATGGAAATTATGTGTCATGTTTCTCTTCCTCTCTGGAGCTGCACACAGGCGTTGGAGGGTAGAGAGACTTGGATCCTAGTTTCAATTGATGTTGTCTATCTCATTTCTTGCAGCTGATGTAGAAGGCCGATACTTAAGACACCGAGACAAGCGGCTTAGTTTAAATCTGGTAAGTTTGGCACTTGGGTTACTTTAAGCTTCCACGTAAGCAAAAATAGTTGGTCCCACATGTTTTTTTTGTTTGTTTTTCAATTCTATTGAGGTTCTTTACTCTGGATCTGTGCAGACTTTTCCAGTCTCACTTTAAGACTTGAACTGTTTTTGGAAACTCCTGGACTTGGTTCCAGAAAGACCCTGTGAATTCTAATGATCAGGACATTTGTCTACCTGGGGTTGCCAGTTAAACTCATGTTGGACTTAAAGCATTTGCGTAAATTCATAACCCTCAGATTTCCAAGATGCGGTCTGGGAGACTTAGCACCTATACTCACACAATGGGTCCAGAGGCAGAACCCTGGTAAGGGGCTTGTCCTACTTCCCTGGAGAAGTTCAGAGTTATTTTTGGGCAGTTTGGAACCCAAACCACACGCACAGCCTCAGTGCCCACAGTTAGTGGTTTCTGTGACTAGTCTGCAGTTCCCAACCTGTGCCTATTCTTTTGCAGCCTTGCAGGTGCTCCCCGATGTACTCCACAGCTGCAGCCAGTGCTGAAGACAGCTACATACCCATGAGCCCCCAGACTATGGCCTCTAGTCTTGGTCCCCACTGCAGTCAGGATGACTACATTCTGATGAGCTCAGGAAGCATCTCAAGCCCACTGCCTGAGCTACCTGCAGACTTGGAACCTCCCCCAGTGAATAGAGATCTCAAGCCTCAAAGGAAATGTAAGGCATTTGACCAGGCCTGCTGTGTGTGGGAGGCCTAAGCCTCCTTGGGCAGGAATCACTAAGGAGACAATCCCAGAGGGCTACAAAGTACAAGGGCAAGAAAGAAGTGAATGGGATAGAATGGGAAGGGTGGGAGCACTTCGCTGCTCCACAGTGTGATCAAGGGAGTTGGGGGACTTGTAGGGTGCTGTGGCCTGCAGATGCAGCGTGTAAATCCAGTTTTGTTCCAGTGGCTCCCCTGTGACTGCTTCTCTCACAAAAGCCCAGGAATAAATGAGGATGGATCAGAATAAGTGAGGATGGATCAGAAGCGAGGATGGATCAGAATGGAGCCCATCTGGTGTCCTCGTTTAGATAACACTTGAGTAAAATCACAGTGCCAGGCTTCTGGCCTTTGATTCATGGCCAGCATGCCCTGAGCAGAGGTGACGGGGGACAGGAGAGCACTTAAGTGGTGAGCAGTCTGACTCCTGTGCACCTGGCAACTTGCAACTTGTGCACTGCTCCCGCCAGGCAGCCTCACTGGTCTGCTGAGCTGCATGGACAGACAGTGAGATAGAATAAGAGGGAAAGGGAAGCGGCAGGGCAAAGTGGCTTTTTCGCTTTATTTTTGCCCACCCCTCATCTGCCCAACGGGCTGTGTGGTCACAGGGGAGCATTCGGTATGACTGGGATCTCTGACAACCCGTCTAGCCTTGCCTCACCTTTCACTGCTCTTTGGAAAAACTGCCACTTCCGGTGGAAATGCTCAAAGATGCTACCTTAAACCTTTCTCTGTGTCTGATCCAGCCAGTCACACCCCGTTAGTTAGAGTCAGGGCACGGGTCATGTGTATAGTACTGTGCTAGGCACCGGCTGCGGTGCAGAGCAAGGAGGGTTCTTCAGTCTGACGGGGAGGAAGATGAAAAACCACCTGGAAGAAAAATAAAGATCATGAAGTCAGTGCTAAATAAGAGAATGGACTCTGTCTTATGAGGTGTAGAAGAAATAACTGACCATTCTGGTCAGAAACAGTTTCACAGGAGCCTGTAACTTTAAGACGGGTATCGTTGTCTTGCTAATTATCTATAGCAGTACCCTCCAAAGGAACTTTCTATGATGATGGAGACATCCCTGTTGAAAATTTGAAACGTGACTAGTGTGACTGAACAGCTGAACTTTAATTTCAGTACATTTACAGGTACTGGTATAGTTGCTACACAGTCACTCTTTTGAACAGTGCCGTTGTATAGGACCCGAAAGAGAGAAGGTGTTGGATGGACTTGGAGGTAGGCAAGGGCGGGTTGTGAAGCCAGTAGGCAGCTGGTGGTGACCCTGACAAAGGAGTCTTGTGCCCGCAGGAGAAACCAGGGGCTGCATGATTCACAGCCCTACCAAAGCAGCTGGATGGACCCCTGACGGCAGATGCCGAGGGCCTCTCTAGACCACCAGGCTATTGCAGGGAACAGATAAACAAAACCCTGGTGTCTTGATGCACAGTCTAGACTTGAGTCAAATAGTCACAGATGAATGTTTCCACACAGACTGGGGGGAAGGCCATGAAGGGTAAGTGCGGGAACCCATGAGGCCTGGACTATGGGGTCTGATCTTGTCTGGAGTTCAAAGAAAGAATCTCTACGCAGAGGACAGTGAGCTGGGACGTGAAGAGGAGTAACTGGACAGAGATACAGGGAAGAAAGTTCTAGGCAGAGGATCCATCGAGTGGACAGTAGTCTGGAGTTGGGGAGACTAGAACCTGGCGATCATTTCTGCCTCTCAGACATGTCGTGTGAGGTAGGCATTGGGATTTCTCCAGGGCGGAGACTCACAACTGTTTGGGTCATCTGTGTCTCTAACACCTAGAACCGTGCCCAGCATAAGTTCTCAATAAATGTGTGTTGCCTAAACATATAACCTCTTTTTGTTACTTCCAGCAAGGAAAGTGAACATTGGCTTGATAATTGTTCTTACTCCCCAGGAGACAGGAAAAAGTAGGAGAGTGACATTCACTCTCACGAGCAATGCTCCTGTTAGTAAATTGGACTTGGTGTGCTAGAAAAGTGGGATGTCACTGTTTCACTGTCTTCAGATTCTGGCCTGAGAACTAACCACGGTGTGTGGTGCACTGTCTTGTAGCACGGCCACCTCCCCTGGACCTGAGAAACCTCTCCGTCATCCAGGAGCACGCATCGCTAAGCAGGACCCGCACTGTGCCTTGGTAAGCTAAGCTGCTAGTTGCCAAAGTGGCCCAGACACCTCTGGTCTTACTTAACCTGTTCGTAGTGGAGGCCCACTTGCTCTTAAGTAAGTCAAAGGAAGGCCTGAGTGTACTGTTTGCAGATTATAAAGGCAGAAATGCAACTGGGTTTGCAGGATACTGGAACCAGGAAATACAGTGCTACTGGGACCTCAAAGAATCTTCTCTCTTTTCTCACATCTGCTTCACCATTTACATCTGTTCATTCCTCTCTCTTCAAAACTCTTTTCTTTGTTGTATGATCCCCATTGGTCAAAGATGTACTATAACTCCTGAGCACTGTCACTAGAGATGGGCTCTTTTTTAATCCCACCTCAGATTTCTTGAGAAGATGGAGTTGTGCAGCTGCAGCCAGATTGGAATCAGCTGTGGCCCGCGGATTGGGACCAGTACTACCGGGCTGACTTCCAGAAGGCTGATTCTGTGAATAGGACGTAAGGAAGGCGTTTCAGAGAAGGCAGGATGGTTCCTGGACTAGATACACCAATGCAAAAATATGTCTGCACTCTTTCATCTCACCTTTTAAGAAGCTGCGTTTTCAGAGTGCTGAGGCTGGCCTAGGAGTTTCCTGGCTCACTCCAAATGGCACAGAAAATAGTCACTTTGTAAAGCAGAAACTTGCAGTAACTTGCATTTCCCAGAAAAGCTGCCGAGACTCAGTCTTTGCATCTGACTAGAAAGAAGAATAAAAATCGGTTCCCAATTCTTGTTCTTGTCCTATCAGAGGAATGGATGCACTTTCTTACTTGTCCTAGTTACCCTCAAAATAAAAGGGCCCCAAAGGAGTGTTTTGTTTTTGCTTTTGTTTTTTGCTAAGTGATACAATGTTTTGGTCTATTTCTCCAAGCTCGGAGCTATGTGATACGGAAGGCCTTGGGAAAAGCAGCTGGAGCTGTGTGCTCTGTCTTGGTGCGGGGCTGCTGGGCAGCCCGTTTCTTTAGGAGTTGGGCCGGATGGAAGTTGTGTTTGGGGCCGGGCTGAAACCCCACAAGGCCCTGTCAGTTCCTGGCCGCCTTTCAGAGCAGCTGTAAGACATTCCTTTGACCTCATCTGTATTTTTGTTTTTAGCAATCGAACCAGCTTTCTCTCTCCAGAAAGAAATGGTATTAATTCTGCAAGATTTTTTGCCAATCCTATTTCCAGAGAAGAGGAGGAAAGCTACATTCAAATGGTAATCCCATATTTTCATGTCTTTTTTTCCCTTCCCCTAGCTTATATTCTTGTGAGTTCATTATAAAGAAGACACGTCCTTAAAAAAATCTCTGTGCAATCTTAAAATGATCACTTGATTGCTAGACCAGTCATAGTATTTCTAGTTGGGAACAAATCCATTTGAAACTCGTTGTTTTCTCCGGCAGTAGTCAGCTAATCGTACTGTTTTGAGGGCGTAGCATTTCACGAGAACCTAGGGTTGAGGCCTATGCTCTGGGAATATGGAAATGAAAGCAGTTCTTTTCACCAAGGCCATGGTGTCCTGCTTGACCCCAGTAACTTCGCAATTCCCCGGATGTCCAGAGTCTAGTGTGTAAAACTGCACATTTCAGATGCTTGCTTTTACTAGAACACCTGCCTCTGAGCCTTTCCGTTGTGTGGCTGCCTCTGGAGACTCCTGTGATGGGCTGTTTCTGTAGCCCTGGGTGGACAAAGACCTGGTAGTGCTATCCTTCGATTAACCATTCACACTTCAAGAGTCCCAAAGTCTCTCTCCTGCCCTCTCGTCCTTTTTGTTCTCTTCATCTTGCATGGCATTGAGAGCATGCGTTCTTGAAGATACCTTTAGCACCTCTGGCCGTTAGTGGGCACCTTAGCCCATTCTCCAGGGCAACTCTAGAGGGAACTTCTGCATGAATTGTGAAGGATGGTGCTCAAGGCACCATGACATACACTCTTCAGAAGGCGCTCCTACTCTCTTATGTATGAAGATAAAGTGCAATCAAAAATAAAAGCAAAACTCTCCAATGAAATAATCATTCAGTGCACTGTTTTGCCTTTTTTGATAAAAATTGTTCTGTAAGTGCACTTAACCATATGCAGATGGAAAGTGACTCATATACAAATATGCTGTGGTCTTCCTAATATTTCTCACACTTTGTAATGGCCCTTGGGAAACTTCTAGAAGAAAAACTCGTATAAAGGATGCTGAACAGCTGTGTCCTGTCTCCAGAGAACAAAAAAGGGAAGTGGACCTAAAACCTAATATAAGCAAGTGCAGAGTCATTTCAGACACCAGCAGTTTCCTTCTGATCTTTCAATTTGAGGGAAAGACCAGTATTTCATTAACAGCACAGTTAAGGATTGATTGTTTGCCTGAGTTTGTAATCACTGGTTAGTGACTGTGTGCATTGCTAGGCAATGCAGCAGTTGAAGAGCCAGGAACACTGGCTGAAGGCCGCATCAGGGAACTGCCATGTAAAAATATTTACGGGCTAGTTTATGCTGAGCGTGGTGGTACACACCTGTAATCTTAGCACTCCAGGAGGATGAGACAAGTTCAAGTGGATCCCAAGTTCAAGTCCAGAGCAGGAAACTTAGGAATTTAGCAAGACCTTGCCCCCAAATAAATAGATACATAGACAGACAGACAGACAGATAAGGTGCTGGAGTGTAACTCAGTACAGTACAGAGGCCTTGGAGTCTTATGTCATTAAACTCTCTTTATTTTTTTTTAACTTCGGTAATAAGAGAATCTCAAATGAATTTGACTTATATTATTTCCTTTGTGCCACAGAACAGCCCAGTGTGGTAGTCAGAAATAGTATGATTTGATTTTGATTTTATACATAATCATGTATATTAATTTCCCCCTTTGTGAAAAAATTTCTGCTCTGATTGCAAAAATTAAGGCCGGGGGCTGAAGTACAAGTTTTGTTCTATTGATATACGAGTCTTACTGGATATCCTTCTTTAAATGTTTGTGGAATTAAAGAAAATTTCAAAAACTAAACACAATATTATCATATGTGATTTCTTCCCTCTCCATTTTTCAGACTCTGTAGTTCCAGTAGTTTTTTGGGTTTTGGGTTGTGTTTGTTTTTGAGATAGGGTCTCGCTAAGTAGTCCGGGCTGGCGTTGAACTCACTTTGCAGCCCAGGCTCTTCTTGCATTGGCAACTATCCTCCTGCCTCAGCCTCCCAAGTGCTGGGGTTACAGGAGTGCACCTCCATACCTGGCTCCAACAGTTTTATAAGGCTTTTATTATAGTAGAATTCTGGACTCTTACATGTCAAATTAATTTCTATTATAAAATTTACTCTCTTATTGTGCAACTTGATCAGTTTGAACACATACAGATTTGTGTAGCCACCATTATACTCAGGGTACAGAGTACTTCTTCATGCCACACCGTGACCCCTGGTAGCACTGATCTCTTCTTCATTATAGTTTTGTCTTTCTAAGAGTGCCATGTGAATAGGATCACACTGTACCTTTTCAGGCTGCTTTATTTTACTCAGAGCAGTGTCTGTGAAGTTCATCCAAATTGGTACACATGTCCATAGTTCTTTCTGTTTCATTGCTGCATAGTACTCTACCGTGTGGGTGGCGATGCATTGTTTATGTACCCACCCAATGAAGGACATTTGCATCGTTTCAAGTTTTGGGAGCAATTAGAACTGTTATAAACATTCTTTTACAACACCAAAAATATTTTAATGTAGTAAGATACATATAATATCAAATTTACCACTTAAGCCATTTTAGCTATTTTCAGAGTATAACCATCATCACTGTCCATTTTCAGAACATTTTCATCATCTCAAACCCAGATCTTGTACCCATTAGACATTAACTTCCCTTTCTGTCCCTGTGAATTTACCTATTCTAGGTCCTTCAAAAGTGAGATCGTGCAGTATTTGACCTTGTTTCACTCAAGATTCATCCACATGGTAGCATATGGCAGAATTTCATTCCTTAAGGATAACATCTTATAATGAATTGTTTACCTACTCTTCTGGGGCTATTGTGGATTATGGTGCTAGGAACATGGTGTACAAGTATATGTTTGGTTCTTGCTTTCAATTCTTTTTGGATTTACACCTAGAGATGGACTTGTTGGATCATGATAATTATATGCTCAATATTTTAATGAACCACCAAACTTGTCTTCCACAGCATCTGCACCATTTTATATTCCTACCAGCAGTACACAAGGGCTCCAGCTTCCCAACATCCTCACCAACACTTGTTATCTCTCACGATTTTCTTTATAATCTCTATCCTAATGGATGTATTTTTCTCACTTGTATTTCATTGTGCTTATTGTTCAAGTGCCTTACCTATTTCTCAATTGGGTTGTTTGGTTTTTGTTGTTGTTGTTGAGTTGTAGGAGTTTTAAAAATATGAGTATAAGCCCCTTACCAGATGTATGATTTGCCAATATTTTTTCCATTCTGTAGCATATTCTCTCCCCCTACCCTCCACCTTCCTCCTTCCCCTCCGTGTGTGTGTGTGTGTCTGTGTGTGTGTGTGTGTGTGTGTGTGTGCTGGGAATCAAACTCAGGGCCTTCTGCTTGCTACACAAGCATTCTACTACTAAGCCGCCCTTTCAGCCTCCTTTTAATTATCTTTCATTATCTTTTGGGGAGTACTGGGGATGAAACACAAGGCCTTTACACTGAGCTGCATCCCCAGCCCTCTTTTAATTTTGTATTTACCTCTAACTAAATCTCTAAATTGCCAAGACTTGTGACCCTGCTGCCTCAGCCTCACCCTTTTTCACTTTCTTGATACTGTCCACTGATGCACAAAAGTTTTTAATATTAAAAAAATCAGATTTACCTTTTTATTGCCTTACTTTTTTGGGTCACATCCATTAAAATTATTGCCAAACTCAATAGCATGAAAATTTTGTTCTGCGTTTTCTTCTAGGAATTTTATAGTTTTAGATCTTCTGTTTAGGTCTTTGATCTTTTAAAATTTTTGTATATGATATAAGGATAAGAGTCCAGTTTTATCCTTTGGGATGTGGACTTACAGTTTTTTAGCACCATTTCCTGAAAATACTGCCCTTTCCTTATTTAGTGATCTTGGCATCCTTATTGAAAATCAGTTTACCACATGCACAGGAGTTTATTTCTGTACTCTACTATATTCCATTGGTTTATATGTCTGTCCTTATAGCAGTATCATACTGTTTTTGTTACTGTTGCTTTGTACTAAGTTTTGAAATCAGAAAGTATGAAACATTCAACTATGTTTTTCTTTTTCAAGATTAAAACTTGGTTACTCAGAGTCCTTTAAAATCCTCCGTGAATTTTAGGATAGTTTTCTTATTTCTGCAAGAAAATCCCATTTACATTCTGACAGGGAATATTTTGATGATATTTTTTTATTACCAGGAATCAAACTCAGGACTTTGCTCCTGCTAGGCAGGCACTTGTGCTGCTGAGCTATACATCCGGCCCCTGATAGGGAATATTTTGAATCTGCAAATTGTTTTGGGTAATATTGTCATCTTAACAATATTGTCTTCCAATCAATGAACATTGATATCTTTCTATTTATTTATGTCCTTTGCTTTCTTTCAGGGATATCTTATAATTTTCAGTATACAAGTCTTTGTCTCTTTCATTAAATTGATTCTTAAGTATTTTATTCTTTTTTATGTTATTGTAAACAAAATTATTGCTTTAATTTCTTTTGGGGATTTTTTTTTCTTCTAGGAGTGAGAATTGAACCCAGGGCTGGTTTCATGGCTATTTGATATATTGGTGTTAAGTGTTTTTGAGTTCTTTATATATTCCAAGTATTAATTCTCTGTGAGAATAGCTTGCAAAGATTTTCTACAATTCTGTAAGCTATCTCTTGACCTTTGAATGTTTCGTTTAGTGTGCAGAAGATTGTTAATTTGATATAGTCACCTTTGTTAATTCTTGCTAGTATAGTCCTGTTCAAGAAGTTTTTGCCTGTGTCTATGAGTTCAAGTGTTTCCCTGTGTTTTCTTCTAGTGGTTTAAAAGTTTCAGATCTTATATATTGGCTTTGGATCTATTTTGAGTTGATTTTTGTACAGGGTGAGAGGTAAGGGTCTAGTTTCAATCTTCTATATGTGGACATCCAGTTTTCCTGGCACCATTTGCTAGACACTGTCTTTTCTCCAAGGCATACTTTTGGCCAGAATCAGATGGTTGTAGTTGTGTGGGTTTCTGTGTTCTCTATTCTATTCCTTTGGTCT